GTCGTGCCACAGGCTCCGCTCCCTCAGTCTCCAATTTCGCGAGCCATAGCTGCAGGTTTCCGCTAGATGCGGCGAGGACCTAGGGAGACATTGGGGTGGTGGGGATGGGGCACGGCACGCCGGGGGCCGGCGAACGGGGCATGCTAGGGGATGGAGGATAGGGCATTAGAGTGCACTGGGGATGGAGGACGGGACGTCCGCGCCTTGATAGTAACAGGGACTTGGACGACTAGGAGCTACGTCCGGAGTCCGGACGTCTGGGCGCTAGCAGCGCCGATTCCATACACACACACGTACACTAGGTAAATGTCGTGCGTTGCAACAGGAACACATAATACTACAATAACATATGTATGAGCGTGTGTTATACTATTATCTAAAATAGATACCACAATCATAATGTTCCAATCAATATTACATAAGTCTTCACGAAAGATAGTATCGGTGCAAAAAGTGACCAACACGTAAATATTTATAGTTTTGCCGTACGTTGTGATCGGATGTGGCCTAGCACTCAATGACACATGGTTTATACTAGTTCAGGCAACGTGCCCTACGTCTAGTTTGAGTCGGTCGGTGACTTTATTCTTGAGCCTAGGTGCTCGAAGTTTGCTGTGGGGTTACAAACGAGAGGGATATAAGATGGGGGTATCAGAGGTACGGTCGGACTCTGGACCGAAGGGGGCCAAGAGTGACGGGAGCTCCAACGTGCGCTAAGTATTGGAACGTATGCTCTATGTGGCTTTAGAGTTCTAGAGCCAAACAGAGTGAGAGTTGGAGTGAACCGTCGTAATCGATCCTGGAATCGATCCTTCTATCCTCTCTATCCTCCCCTATCGGGAGAAAGTGCATCCCCTTTTATAGATGAAGGGGACGGCCTTACAAGAGAGAGAGAGAGAGTGAGTGTGTGTGCTACCTAGTCTTGTTGCCCATATCGTCGGGTACAAGACGGTTTATCAGCGTCCACAATACTGTTGACGCCCAGATGCATGTGGTAGGCTCTATTGTCTTCTTCTAGTATGGAAAATGTCGGCGCCTACCATACTGTAGGATAAATGTCGGCGCCCACAACACTGTTCGTGTTCTAACATGTCTGGAAGGTTGCAGAGCACCCTTCTGACATGGCCTGACAGTACTGTCCCGCAGGTGTACAGGGTACGGTCCTCGGTATTGCTGTTGACTTGAGAGCCTCACCTTATCTACCCTGCCTGATCCTTGGGTACTTTACCAAGAGGGCGTCCCCGTTCGGTCGTTTCCCAATCGTCTCTAACCGCGTCGGTCAGAGAAGAGTTGTAAGTAGAGGTTTGGTGTATTCTCGGTCGGAGTCGGAAGCGAGCGTCGCCCCTCCTTGGCCAGCCCTTTCGGTCGGAGAAGCGGGTCAGAGTCAGAAGCGAGCGTCACCCCTCCCTGGCCAGGCCTTCCGGTCGGAGAAGCGGGTCGGAGTCAAAAGCGAGCGTCACCCCTCCCTGGCCAGGCCTTTCAGCCGGAGACTAGATCGCTCTTCCGGCCTGTCGTTAGGTATCTGGGCCAGCCCAGGAGTTGTGCATTGTTCGCAACGTCGTCTGCTGAGCCGAGCTTTTGCTGGGAAGCAGGCCCATTAGGGACCCCAGGTTTATGAACCCGATAGATAGATAGTTAAAATATAACTCTAAATTTGAATGCAAAACTAAAACATCAACTTCAATTGTCGCATCACTTCATGTCTACGATACGCGAAAGATAAGCTTGCACTTCTTTAGGAATCAAGTGCTACGAAAAGATAATCATAACAAGTTTGTGTTTCACAATACATGTTTTAGAATCTATTCTACAATTAAGAATCTAATCTCTCAATAGTTCGACTAAGAGTATGGGTCCTTGTATTTATTAACATTATGGTCTCGATAACCGATCATGCAAAGAGAGACTATTCTAGTTTCATAAATATCATCAGAAAATTGTCAACAACTAACATGATGTTTATTAGAATGTCCACATAAAAAACAAAACACTGATAGGCCCATGAACCATGGATCGACGGTGTGGTGTGTGAGCGGTCCACCATGGACCAAGTCCATGCTGAAGGGTATGGGTCATTATTTCCAATGTATTTCCTCTTTTATTCTTCTAAAGAAAAACAGCAAGAAAGTGTGGATATGTCATCCTGGTGTCATCAAGCTAACAAGCTAGGAACGCTCGTGCAAAGCAGAGCACGGAACAGAGCTCGACGACGTGTCCCGCTACATGTGGGCAGTCCTGCTCGACACCAAGGTGGTAGCTGCGGACGCCATCAAGCAGCTATGGAGGAGTGCGGCCGACGAGGGGGTTCAGTGCCACTACTCCGCGCCGTACACTCCGTAGCAGAACGGCGTCGTCGAGCGCCGCAACCAGATAGTGGTCGCCACCACCAGCGCATTTCTTAAGCAGTGGGGCATGCCGACGATCTACTGGGGTGAGGCCGTGATGACCGTCGTGCACCTGTTGACCGCTCGCCGACCAAGGCTCTCGACGGCAAGACACCGTATGAGGCCTGGCACGGGCGCAAGCCGGCGGTCAGCTATCTGCGCGTTTTTGGCTGCCTGACATTTGTCAAGGAGCTCGGCCATGTCGGCAAGCTCAACGATTGCAGCTCACCGAGGGTCTTCATCGGCTACGCTGAAGGGACTAAGGCGTGTGCGAGTGGCGCGCGACGTGGTATTCGACGAAGATAGCGGTTGGGTGTGGGACAAGGCGGCTGATGATGGATCGGCGGTAGCTCTACGTGACTTCACCGTAGAGTATGCGTGGGCTAGAGTCGCGCCGACCACTGCACCAACCTCGCCGACCACTCCACCAGTTTCGCCGACCACTTCGCCAGCTCCGCCGCGTTCGCCATCGCCAAATCCGAGGGAGCTCATCAACTCCTCGGCGGCGGTCGAAAGCTCATCGACAGTGGCGCGGACCACACCAGCGCCCCAGCCGAGCACTTCAGCACCCAATCGGACCACTGGAGACTGGTCGGCGACTGCAGGAACTTCACCAGCAGCCGATCTGACCACACCACCTTCGTCCCCGACCGCGGCATCTCCTGCCTCGCCTACTAGTCGGTAGTTTGAGATCGAGTTCGCGACTCCGTTGGAGGACGATGAAGACCGCCTGGACGCCTACTACGACAATGAGCCCCTGCGATACCGCACGGTGGCGAACATCCTCAGCAACCAGTCTGCATCAGGCCAGGCAGAGCAGCTCTTCGCCTAGCTTCATCTAACGTAAGCCGGTGAACCAGCCACTTATGCTGAGGCATAGGGTGATCCAGCGTGGCGGGTGGCGATGGAGCAGGAGCTCAAGTCTGTCGAGTAGAACCGCACCTAGAAATTGGTGTCACTGCCCGGCGGCCACCGCCCCATCACCCTCAAATGGGTGTTCAAGCTCAAGAAGGATGAGCAGGGCGCGATGATCAAGCACAAGGCGCGGCTGGTGGTGCGCGGCTTCGTCCAGCAAGAGGGGATCGACTACGACGATGCCTTCGCCCCTGTGGCGCGTATGGAGTCAGTCCGTGTCCTCCTTGCACTGGCGGCTCAGGAGGGGTGACAAGTCCACCACATGGACGTCAAGTCCGCTTTCCTCAACGGCGACCTCGAGGAGGAGGTGTACGTGCGCCAACAACTAGGCTTCGCCGTTCCGGAGAAGAAGGCAAGGTGTACGGCCAGCGGCAGGCCCCGCGAGCCTGGAATGAGAAGCTCGACGCCACGCTCAAGAAAATGGGTTTCAAGCAGAGCGCGCATGAGGCGGCGGTGTACCGGCGGGGCAGTGGGCGCTCTGTTCTGCTCGTCGGCGTCTACGTCGACGACATGAGTGACCTCGGCCTCCTCTGCTTCTACCTCGACGTCGAAGTGCGCCAAGACGCCAGTGGCATCGTCCTCCGCCAAACCCACTACGCCAAGCGCATCTTCGAGCTCGGTGGCATGACAGACTGCTATCCAGCCCACACCCCGATGGAGGAGCGGCTCAAGCTCAGTCGAGACAGCACGGCGGAGGAGGTCGACCCCACACACTATCGACAGTCGATCAGGAGCTTGTACTACCTGGTCCATACTCGGCCGGACCTTGGGTTCGCCGTCGGGTATGTGAGCCGTTCATGGAGCGGCCCATGATGGAGCATCTGTAGGCCGTCAAGCGCATACTTTGCTACATGGCAGGCACCCTCGACTATGGTCTTCACTATGGCAGGGCTCCCGACATGGCGCACTTCGTCGGCTACTGCGACAGCGACCTCGCCGGCGACGTGGACACCAGCAAGAGCACAACCAGGACCATGTTCTTCCTTGGTGGTTGTTTGGTCAGCTGGCACTCTCTCAAGCAGAAGGTGGTGGCCCTGTCAAGCTGTGAAGCGGAGTACATCGCCACCACCACTGCAGCAACTCTGGCGCTATGGCTATCAAAGATGCTGGCAGAGCTCCTTGGCAGGAACGTGGATGTGGTTGAGCTGAAGGTGGACAGCAAGTCTGCTCTAGCTCTGGCCAAGAATCATGTCTTCCATGAGAGAAGCAAGCACATTCGCATCAAATACCACTTTATCAGGGACTGCTTGGAGGATGGGAGCATCAAGGTCAGCCACATTGCCACCACTGATCAACTGGCTGATATCCTCACCAAGTCGTTGGGGAAGTCCAAGTTCCAAGAGATGAGGGAGAGGATTGGGCTGCAGCAGATCACTTCCAGTGCTCAGCACAAGGCTTAGGGGGAGAATGATAGATAAGCCCAGTGCTCGGCACTTGTATCTTACCTTTCTGCAATTTACTTTTGCGTTAGAAATATGCTCAGCATCCACTTTAATGGCTAGGAGATATGCTGGAGCAGGTAGAAAGTAGAAGATGCTCTCTGCCTATAAAAGCAGGGGCAGACCTTCTTGTATCACAAGACAAACTATTTGCTTTTTCCAATTCCAACAAGCGGCCAAGGCCAAGCTATTCATGTATTTGTAAAGTTATTTTCCATTTAGTTTTGGTAGAAAGCAACATCGGTAAATTATATCAACAATGCTACAAAAGAAACTGACGTTTTAAAGCACTACTGTTGATGTTGGTCCAAGTGAGGTTGAATGTGAAGATTCCTGGTGTAGATTGAATTTCTGGAACAACAGAAGGAGTGGCGAAAGGTGTTCTCTGAACATTCGTGGTGTCAAGCAGATTAATGGAACTCATGCACATAAGAACTCCATCACTTGTCACTTGAACAGGACAATCAATGACATCTGCGCCATCATCAATTGCACTATGGTAGGCCAGGTCTGTACAGTCCGGATAGTCTCCACTATCACCATTATGCTAGATAACTAAGGGTTTCCCTGTAAAGAAGCACTACAAATAATTAAACTGAGTTGAAATAGAAGACATCCAACCATCATGGTACAATTACTAAGGTAGGCCTTACTCCCATATGAAACATACCATGATCAGTCTTACTTGAATTCAGTTTAGCAAAACAACCTGCAAATGAGAAGATTCAAATGCATTAACAATGAACTGTATTTGGTTATTTCTTCATAAAAACAACTAAATATCATACTAAGTTTTCGCCTGGGCACAAACATATCTTAAAATGTGGTAAGGTTATTTAGACCCTACAGTCCCAATATATTCATCACTAGACAGTGAACACTTTGAACACCAAGACTAATGGGGGATTAGGGGACAAACAATCTATTATTAACCTGAGGTGTTAGAACACATAAGTTCCATAGGAGGATTGTAATGTTATGCCTTTTACTGAATAAATGTGCAAATCCAAAATATTGTTGTAGTAGAACAGAGGAAGTACTTCACAGGATAATATAATAGGAAGAAGGTCAACATCGATAACTACATTGTAGTTGAATCCTTATGATGTACTAATGCAAAACTTTTCGTAGCTTAACAATTGCCTCTGATGAAGTAATAGGGTAGTCTGACAGTACACCATCAACAGAGAAGCCACCATCACTGATAAAGTTTAGGTATTCCGCCAAAGGATCGTAGCAGAGGCATATATTTCCAGCCCTGCTTTGTGCGCATCTGTGACAATTGATGTGGACGGCAGTAGATAGTTATCATTTGTCACCGGCCAAATGTAGTCCTTAGGGACCATTATGCCAGATGCAATAGACTTAATAAACGTCAGGTTGCTCCACAGCGAACCATATGTTTGGTTTATAGAGTGATCTAAGAGGTTTTTATCAAGAAAGCTTATACACAAGCTTTGTTTTGCGACCAACTGTTGCAGATATATTTTTGAGGAAGCCCAGTTCAGGTGACGAGATATAATCCATGGATACCAGCTTTCGGATTGAAAGTATGTATCTACTCATGTCCAAACCATGTTGTTTGTAGAAGATGGGATGCTACACATACGAAAAAAAAGGAAATTAACTTTTGAAGGTAGAATAGCACTAGCAACAAAATAAACTATGGTTAAATTCCAAGAATAATAGCTCAACCTGGACATTCAGCCAAACCGGAGACGTCTTGACAAAGTACTGAAAGTCAGTGACACTGACGATAGGATAGATGTCGTCGAATCTCTCAGTGCGAGACCAAATTGCCTGTGTTACTGCTCAATATAGTAGATATTCAGTTAATAGAAATAGCTCACATCATTAGAAATAAGTTTGTAAGCCATAAAAAATACATGACCGTAGAAATGATTTGACCAAACAAAACATAAAAATAGTACTAAAAATAATGTCAATGCAAACAACTTAAGATGCCCATAATGTAAAACTAGTACTGACATATAACACCATCGCTGTAACTGTAAACGAAAGGCTTTGCAGTGGCATATATTGCGAGCTGTACTCACGATAAACTGCAGACTGAAGCTCAGCATTTCAGCAATGGTGAAGTCGGAGACAAACCAACCAGTCTTGTGCACACCGTCGATGACGTAGGTCCGCTTCCTCGCAGGGTACGCTTGGTCGACGGTGGTGCAGTTGTTCATGTTAATGTCCCGGAGGCAGACCCCAACGCCGTCCGCCTTGTTTGGATGCACATGTATTCATCTCAATCCACATGTGTTAAAGTGGATTTGAGTGGAATTAAACTAAGTTCCATTCCAATCCACTCTAATACATGTGGATTGAAATGAATACACATGCATCCAAACAAGCCTTAGCTGGACATCGCACCACATCGCTGTGCCAGGCGCGCTGGCGTCCATCGCGAAAGAGTAGGCGTCTTGGCTGGAACTGGAAACACTCCTGAGAACACGCCTTTGGCGATCACAAGTGGAGCGGCACCTGCAGGAAGAACCAACGCTCATGATTGTTCTCTATCATCGCCCAATTAACTTTACGCTTCTCCTGTATTTTATCTTTTAGGTGCCTGATTTTTTGTGTTATTCAGGCAATAGTTAATTTTGTCATTGTTTGACTATAGGAAAAAGAATGTAAATTGTCTCTTGTGAGTGAGTTGTCCTTTTAATTGTACTAGTTGTTTGTATTAGACTGTTGCCTGAAATCATCTTATAATTCACCTGAAACGTAGCAACTCGCGGCACTCACTCCACTTGTCAGAGAAGAAACGAAACTGAATTCTGGAATTTCCAGAAGCAATAACCAGTTGTTACTAATGTCTTAGAGAGAGAACAGAACTCCCTACACTCGTCAACGAAACTACGAAACTCCAGAACAAGCATCCCCAAGAAGGCCCCAATTGGGTTTGCCAGCAGGTACCGACGCACGGAAGCAATAGCATGCACGAAGCGAAGCAGAGGAGTGCTGCAGGTGCAGGCAGGACGGGACGGCACGCGTTGAGCCGTCGAGGAAGCTGTAGAGAAGGAAGGAAGGCTGGGGTGCATTACCGCTGAGGGTTTTGTAGTCGGAGGGGAGCCGGGGGGCCTGCGCAGCGGCGCCGCCGACGAGGACCGTGACGACGCAGCCCAGCAGCAGTGCGGCGAAGGCAGCGGCGGCGGCCACCCCGTTCTCCTCCATGGCGTCTACTCCTCCCCATCTCCACCAGAACCTTCCCGCGGCGCACGGGAACCGGAGGAGAAGCTGTTGCTGTTGCTGCAGACCAAGATTACTACGCGGCCTGGCTATTTTAACCTGGTTCGGCGAACTCAGAACCTGCTAAACTTCCGGTAGCTACAGTATTTTCCAAAGATACAGTACTCGGTGCTACAGTACCCGAAATCGGGCCGGCCCAACTTGGCCCAATGGTCTGGGTCTCACACACACCTGAGCCCGACGCCGCTGCGGAGGAGCCGCCCGAGCCGACGCACCGCCGAGGAGGAGGAGCCCGCCCGCGGACGCCTCGCCTCGCCGCGCTCGCGCGCCGCCGCCCCACCTCCGGCCCCCGGGCAGGCGCCAGCACGGGACAGGTGTGCGCCAACCTGCAGCGCGAGTTCCGCGGCGCCGTCCGCTACGCCATATAGCAGCGGCGGTACGATGCCAATGAGCTACGGAAGATGGTCATCAACGCACTCAACTCCGGCGCCAAGGTCTTCATGGTAAGCACACGCACGCAAACTTGGTTGGCGTACGTACGGGTGAATGGATGGATGAAGCACGATGTGTGGCGTACGTACGGTTGAACTCAATCGCAGGCGGCTCAGATTCCTCCGATCAAGGACGACACGGCGGCGAACGAGGCGGCGCTGGAGCTGGTATGCAAGGACGAGCCGAGGGAGGTGCGCCCGGAGAACGACGGCACGTGAGCGGCGCACCCGGGGCTCGTCCTGGCGATACCCGGCGCACCCGGAGGTCTTCGCGGGCCACCTCGGCGGGAGGCTGAACCAGATCGGCGACGCCGCGGGGCACGAGGGCGCCAGCGTCAAAGAGGAGGACCTCATCCAGCTGCCGCGGGGCGCTCGCACGGTGGACGTCCTGCGGCTCACGTCTGCGTGGGCGTGCAGTACCTCCCGGGGCCGGAGGTGGAGAGGCCGCGGCGGCCTGCGAGCGAGCGCGGCGAGGCGAGGCGTCCGCGAGCGGGCTCCGTCTAAAGGAGGAGGCAGGGAGTTGACGTCGTATCCATTCTTATATGCATACACGCATGACAGTGACCCTATACGCTGCAGCCTGCAGAGTAGAAAATGACATGGATGGGAGAGAGATGAAATCATAACGACAGATATCCTAATAGAAGCATTGTAATAACGTTTCTCAAAACTCAGATAATTGTAATCGCCTGGATCAAAAAAAAAACCCTTAAATTTTTTTTATTTTAGTGAAATTGACCTAAATTCGTTGAAGATGACTCAATTCAAAGCAGTGCGGCTAGACATACATGTGGGCCCCGTGTGTAGAGATGGACCCTATAACTAAAACTTAAACATCACGTTTGCACATTAAAATTTTAACAAAACTGACCAAAATGACTCGGTTTTAAACTCAGCTACTTCATGCAAAATGGTGTAGATGGACCGACACATGGGCCCATACACAAACCAACTTCCTTAAAAAGAGGAAGACAAGTAGGTCATTTGGAATGAACCAATACATCCCAAACCATTTCCTCCTAGGAATCCAAACCAAACAAAACCATTGACAGCCAAGGCCCAACCTAAATGGGTCTAAAGAGAAAATCAATCCACTAAAACCATTAACCCTAAACCAAATAGCAGGGCTAGTTCTGCGCATGATCAACACCAAAATCCTAAAAGGAAAGCAGATAGCCATAAAATTATAAGAACCGGAAGGAAAAGATAAATTTAAATCAGTAAAACCGAAATAACAATCAGTATAACCCACCGTTATTCGTCTGGTGACAGGCTAGGAATGGCGTGGTCTTCTCCAATATCTAAATGTCTAACCCCACTAAGTAATTGGTTTCTTTCATCTCTAGAGCAAGATAGTGAAGCCGGAGGACAGTAAGAGGGGAATATGGGAAAGCTGAGATCGAGCCTACTGACAATACAAAGCGACATCGCGCCGCGCGGTGTCGGGGCATAGTGATCGGTGTCGGCTCAATCCAAAAAGTTGTTAAATCTCTGAGCTGGTAGCCAGCTTGAAGCTGGCCTGTAATCTATAAGGCCAATCTCAATAGGAGTTTCATAGAGTTTTATAGACATTAAATATACTTACATAGCACTGTATTTATGAAGAGAGAGGTGACAAAAGTTTCATAGATGTAGAGAGTTTGTAACACATAAGAGCATTGGAAACTGGGACGTAAAACTCTCATTGAGGATGGCCTAAAGCGTGGACTAAGAATAAACAATCCCTTGCTCGATTAGTTGACCGATGTCTCGGTGCGACTCGCGCCCTAACGTTTTAGCTTGCCGTGAAATCATGCACTGTGCCTGACCAATAAAACAACATGAACTGTCTAAGATAAGCGGCAGGTCAGCCAATCTGAACAGTAATTTCAGTAAGAACAGTAATTACGGTATTTAAATGAGTAATAGTAATATATATCAGTTGAAGGACGACAATAAAATAGCTGCAATCCTCAACATGGCCATCATGATTTTACTTGCGATTTCAGCTTAAGTTACATCACATAATGAGCAAAACAAAGTATGAGGCATCTTAAGGGCTAATTTGGAAACTCCAATCCCTCTGGGATCCCGGACTTTTCACTGGGTAGGTAATCCATGAGGATATAATTTTAATTATCATCTTAGTTGTTAGTGGGGGTTTTTCCATCCCTGGGTTTTGCTCCCCCTCTTCCAAAAGGGGCCTAAAATGGTTGGGTTCCCGGGCACCAATTGACCTGTCCAAAAAGGTAAGTGTGACCAAAATGACAGATAAGACACTAGAATCAACATGAAGTCTATATTAGGCACACCATATAATTTTAATACATCGAACAAAATTGTTACTGTTTTTATTCATGTAAATTCTACACCCGTGTAGCTAGAGACCCAAGTTTACCAGATCAAATATTTAGATTTCTTTAAGAGATCTTCAGAAAAAAACAACCAATTTGGCTTTTATGGGGACAGGGCACTAAACAGTTGAAAAAGAACATGAAAACATCTAGGAACCTTGCCACTGCAAGTGTAGCAAAGCTCTGTTTGTGGTTGCCCCACGCATTGCAGCCAAATCACGGCCTGTGGTTGCCCCACGCATTGAGCTTAGTAAAGCCTAAGAACCTAGCCCAAATTGCTGCACAAGACAAATATTGTCACAGTGATATGTTTTGTAAAGAATTCACTTCGACTTTCTTAGGTCGGCGGACTATCAAGTACAATACTTAGGTTTTGCCAGTGACAGTTAAATACCTACTTACAAACTAAGTTTCGGTGACATGCGGCCAACATGTCTAAGAAAACTCTGTCGTTTTCATTAACTACCTCAGACCAAGAACAGCTGCAAGGGTAACCAAACTTATGTGGCGGCCAAAAAGGATCAAACACACAGAAGCAGAATCAAACAGGGCACCAACCTGTCTTAAGGGATCCCTTATAATGTCATAGTATTGGTGCCTGTAGTACCTTGTATCCTTCCAAAACTAGAACAGCCAAAAAAATGTAAGTTTATGATTGTATTTGTAAAGTACAAAGATACACAGCAGTTCTTTTCTTTACCATTTGAAGATATCCGGTCGAGCTATTGCGTACATCAGCAACCACCTAAGATAAGTTTCGTTAGTAAGTTAATGTTCATTGATCTACCTTCACAATATATCAATGCACCTTAAAGTTGTACAAGTTTTAGTTGCTACCTTTTTGACTGCTTCATCCAAACTGATATCTTTCTGAGATAAGATTGCCTGGCAATCCTGAAATTTGTCACATCTTGACCTTAATAACGATAAATAAATAGTGTACACTTACACTAATGAAGTCAACGTACAATTACACTAATGAAGTCAACGTACAATTAGGCCACGGATGGCGTAGTGCTTAGGAAGGGAATCCCTAGAAAAAAGTTCAGAATTGAATTTGTTCACCAGTTCTGAAAGAGAAGCCTTCCCCTGCACAAGCAAGAACATTTTATTCATGCATGAACATGTTATACAAAGACAAATTTTATGATGCTAAGACGTACCCAATCGACCTGATTGCTGTCAACATCAAAAAAGTTTTCTGCTTCAAGCTGACTTATAAAACATTGGGCTTGAACCTTCAACTGAAATTTGAAATAAGTCAATAAATAAGGGATGGACACAGAAGTAATGAAAAACAACAATGAAGAAATAATCAATGAAAATGTGCCCTTAAAAATCCATATGATGTATGGTGATTTTGGTGCATAAGCTTATCTCAAAAGCAGTGAACAATAACAATAAATGTATTGCCCACGTGCATCATCTTGTCTTGCAGAAGAGAAAAAAACAAGATACAATAGTTTTAACACATTAGTACAAGGAAGGGCATATAGCAAATAAAAAATTATGACCGATAGTCAAATCAAAGAAGGCCTTATCCATAATTCCGAAATAACCTTTAATGCTTCGTGTGTGTAGTTAAATGTACGGCAATTAGGAAGTCTTAATTCATCATGTCCCTCCTTCAACAATTGTTTTAAAAAAAACATGCTAGGATACTATAAACAGCTATACCAAAATCAAATTCAAATTGAAAAAAAGGACATTTGAAATTGTTTTAAGCAGTATAACATCATAGGATAAAGTGTTGTATACATACTGTCTCACTCGCAAAAAGACCTAGCAAATGTTCAGCATAGGTGTAGTTATCATACTGCATGTGCACTATCTCAGTTCTCCGCTACAGAAAGAAGAAACTTGTTAAAGCCAAAAAAAAATGGATGACAGGCTGGATTGTGCAAATCCATCAGTACCTCAAAAGATAATTTTATTAGAGAACATTCCAATGTCCTAAACTTATCCGGAACCACCTTAGTTACAGCAAACTCCACAAAATCATCCTGTAAATCGAAAAAAACATAATAAACTATTTTCTAAAACTGCCAGGTGCTATGATGACTTATTTCTTACCTTTGAAGACATGAAACGATCCATAGCATCATCTAATTTGCCAGAGGCCAAATACTCGTCAAACTCTTCATGCAAGCTCGTTTGTTGTTTTGCGATATAGTACTGGCGAAAAAGATAATTCCATTACAACATTGAAGCTGGTAAACACATAAAAATGGCACCAAAAGATCACTCCGTCCATACAAAAAAAATGGCCTTAAGCACATAGTCAAGGTATAATTAGAAACAGAAAATCTCAAGTTTGAAACAACAAATCTCAAATTCATCATCTATTCCTCAACAGGCAATTAGTCCAAAACAATAAACCTAAGAAAAAAAATAATTATTTTTAAAGCAAGGACACAATACAAAGATGGCTGTTGAGGAAAGGTTGGATGATGAAATGCAAAACAGTACAGAGTGCACAATAAAATACAGTTGGCTTTCAAAAATTTGATGAATGCTGCAACATGCTATTTTTTAGCGATGCCAGATAGTTTCAGAAGAAAAGGAATTGGTCCCACACTTTGGCCTCTTTAAGTTTAGTCTCAATAATTTCTCGAGCATAAGGTTGTAGATGAAGCGGAAAATCTGTAACAGTCGGCACTAACGGCTGCACAAGGAAAAAAAAGAATGTTAATCGTGATAAGATTCTAACTGGCGATGAGGTAGTATGTGGACAAACCTTTAGACATTCAGTTGCCATTAATACATCAACTATAGCTGAAAGTTTGTCCATCTGGGCCTAAACAAAAACGAAAACAATCGTTGCGCCATGTTAAGGAGATCATGAAAAAACATGGATGAGAATGATCAAGCACTTAAGTGCTACAAGTCACCTCGCGAATCATGGGATGAAATCTAGGTTCCCAGAAAAATAATACAGAACGAAGGAGAAGCTGTAAAGGGAAAAAAATGTTACAAGCAATATGCAGATAAAATGCTTCAAACTAATTTTAAGGACACCAGAGATACTCACATCAACTGATGGTGCCACATATTTATAAAATTCAGCTGGTATCTCAGAAGTTTGTTTGACACGACAAATAACATCATAGGGACGATCAGAGCTCTGAAATTATCAGGATTACTATAATTCTCCAACACAAATAAAAACTGAAAATCAGATAACAAATACCTTAATGTAAGGTTTAAGTTTGATTAGCTGACGAACAAGATTGCAGATTGTTCTGTTGCGTACCACAGTAGCCATTGAATAGAATTTTTGCTTTAGGAAAAACAATGCATTAGACAACATACAGAAATATGAAGCTGGAAGGTATATTGAAATCCTTACTTGTTGTATAGATGAGATGGTTTGCATATGAGGGTGCTCACAACTGTTGATGACATATTTAGCTCTGAATTCTGGCCTCAACTTCTGAAGGAGACATGCTTTGTCCAGATAAATATCCTGCAATAGGTACTCAGATGACTCAGTGAACTATTAATACCCCCCCTTGAAAAAAAACACTGCCTAATGAAGAACCAATATATTTTTCGTACAGTTTCATTTTTTATTGGAAAAAAAACAAGTCTTGTGCAGAATAACATCACAGTTTTAGGTTGTCAAGCAATATTGTGTGTGTAAACATAAAAATTCTTGGAAAAATAGTTGAGCCGTAAACAAGCCATATAACAATGAACCAGAACAAAAGCAATTCTATGTTGGATTGTCAAAATGCAGTCTCCTTTTCTGTTGTTGCCATAGTAAAAAATAAACCTTGATAAGGATGTCCAGCATGGAACTTTGTCGTAATCAAGAGTCAGATTCCATTAATCAAAGTACATGTTTCATTGAAGTCGTTGAAAAACTTACCGCTGCAAACTCAGAATTCGCATCCACCTCTAACAACATGTCAATATATACAGAGAGATATCTCTGACATTCATTTTCGAGCTGGTAGTGACAAAATTGGTTCCAATGAGTAAGAGAGTACAAAATATAATGTCAGGTTTCACTTGTTCTTAGAATTTAAAAATATCGACAAAACACACCTCCCATTTCCACGGGTATCCTAAGGAAACCTCCTTAGCAGCAGCAGAACATGCCTTTGCTCGGAAGTCCTCCTTTTGACGCCCCAACCACACTTCAAAACTATTTTCAAAATCATCGACGTTTTTGTCTCCCCCAATCAAAGCCTGTCGCAAATATTAGCAATGTTTTACTAATTCAACAACAACAACAACAAAGCCTTTAAATCCCAAACAAGTTGGGGTAGGCAATGTTTTACTAATAAGAAGATATATATATTTTCAAAGAAAAAGTGCTGGTGACTTGCCTCAGTCTGCATATGACCACAATTTAACATGTAGTCATAGATTTCATGACAAAGGACAGTAAGGTCTTTGGTAGCATTATTACTACCGCATGAAGTCAGTTCAGATTTTAGTCTTTGAATTGAACATGGCAGCTCATTATCTAGACATTGGATTAGACAGGGGAGTAGATTGTCCAGAATAAATATCTTTAGCCTTGCATCATTGCTGACAACTGCAAGGTAAACAAGAGCGCGGCAAAATGGAATGGCTTTCGCTGTTGATATATCATCCACAAAGTACCCAAATAGGCTCATTCTCAAATCACCAAAGCAATCATTAATTACAAGGTACCTGCAAGGTGTACAGTAATTAATACAGCTACTAGTAGTAAAACATTAGGTGCCAGGGTTAATTAAATCAAAGTAGGGCAACGTAGTACTAAGCTTGGTACCTTAAGAAAGAAATCGATGGCATGGAATCATGAAAAGATATGGCCTCTTTATCCTCCAGCGCTCTACTTTGTTCTGTCAATGCAATAACTTCAAGCAAACCTGAAACTTCACGAGTGATCTCAAGCAGTGTGCCCATTTCCAGTGTCTTGTTCCTTCCTGCCTCCCCAGACAGTTTACCAAAATAGTAACGTGCTCCAGCACATCCATGATAAAGAAGCTTAGACCATGCAAGATGAAGTATATCCTCACAGTGTATTAGTAACTGTTGTAAAAAGCTGCCCACCCATTCCTTCCAAAACTTACGGGGACAATTCTTGACCAAAGGAATAACTGTAAGTTTGATAAGTTTACCTAAATGTCTAAATTCCAGTGATGCCAAATATTTTGAGAAAGTAGCAAAAACAGAACGATTTAATAACCAAGAAAATGCACCCTCAATAGATGCACATAGTCCGATCACATTGTACCTGCAGCATGGCATAATCAGTAATGCACCAAAATAAATCAGGACATAAAATAAATATCATAATTGATACATGGGACATGTTTTAAATATAAGGTACTGCAAATGTTTGGTCAATGTCCCCTGGGTGGGATCACCTGTGAAAGTCATAGAAAAGGTGCCCTAAAACCAACCAGGGATACTGGCTAACCTCGGCCATGGGACAGGGGAGAAAATGTCCTTATTACTTTGGTACAATCACCATCCTTATAAAGATGAGAGGATTGACCTTTAGATAACCTATTTCTAAATTAAGGAAAAAGATAGAAATTCAATCTGAACAATTAAAATACCCAAGGTAACAAATGAACCATGAGCCAAGCATAGAAATTAGCGTACTGTATTATATGGGTGAACAGTACACGCCAGATGCAGGTACCATCAAATTGCCCATGATGAACTAGCAAAATCATGACTAGCCACTAGTCTGCATCCCACCAGGGCCCCCAAATCAGAGACAAGGAGTGGTGTACTGTCCAATTAGGAGAACACTGGACTAATGTTTTAACTTCTATATGTGAGCAAACTTCGACAAGCAACATCATAACAGCTACAGATCTACACCCATACAAAATCTCTCCAACTACTAATATCAAGAAAAAGAAAGGAGAAAATATCTAAAATAGAAAAAGCAGCATACTTACCCACTCTCTCTTATTCCCTCTATCAATTGTCTTGTATCCTTTTCTTGGGAACCTTCCCCGTTGTCAATCCAAAGTAATTTATCTGTATGTTCAAACTGAGAGCAAGGGTCCAGACACTTCGCCTTTTTAAGAACTTCAGACAAACTATAAGCAAGAGGTGGATACCACAGCCCATGTATGCATTGAAGCAGCTGTAATTTAAAAAACCAATTCAAATTAGAAAGAAAATAAACAAACTTCAGTAACGAATTGTAAGGCCAATTGGGCATGTTTAGCCAAACAAAAAAAAGAAATAGCAAGCATACATTAGGTATGTTTTTGCTACCACATGAGCCTACGACAATTGGTCAAGTTATTTGACAAATTGTGGGTCAACAGATCGAATAACAGAAAGACCTACCACGATAGTAAACATAAATCCCATTACTATCTTAATTCCGGCAACAACGTCTAGGTGGACATTTACCTCTGAGATCAGGGGAAGGCTCAGCTGTGCAATGGTTACTATGTAAGGTTCACATGATCTTGAAGCAGTAAACCCATCAGTGCAGACCCTTCTGAGCTGAGTCTCACAGAATCTGACCACATAGTGTATCATCTTCAAAAATTGGCCGTCGGAAAACAGGCGATTCAGCCCTGACCCATGACGCAAATAGTTACATCTCCAATCCAGTAAGGTCCAAATTTTGTTCAGAAGGCTAAGCAAGCAAGGAATTAATTCCATATTTTGATGTATTCTGTTAAGAAAAAACTGGAAAAGGTCAGCATATAAGCATAAAGCATTCCACCCCTTCTTACTAGGTGAGAATTTAGTAACTGTCACAATCTTCATGGTAACTTTGGACAGTAATATCAACAATAATATACAAAATATAAAACAAGTCTCAGCGTATCATAAATACTTTTATAAAACCTAAAGATAATGGACAGTCTAAATTTTTTTGCATATTACTAGTTGATTAAAAGGCTAGTCACATGCTTTCAAAACATCAATTTTTTAGGAATGAAGTAGTGAACTACAGTTAAATTCAAAGTTTTTTCATACCCTGAATAGGATATTAAAGTAAGGAATGCTTGACTTATAACATTATGTTCCATAAGGAGTAGAGACCCCTTCTCTCGATGGCTAGACATCATTTCGACATTAACCTGTATCATCAGAAAGAAGGATATCAGAAACAGAATATTTAAAAGATGGTTGACGGGATCGTCATCTTTAGAAAAGGTATACCACTTGGTAAACAAGTATCGCACATTAAAAATCTTTAGCAAAGTTAGGACACATGAACAGGGAACAGAAAGCAATGAAGTTACACGAATGCCATTATGAGTCCTTCACCTGAAGTAAATGTAAAGTCATGAAAACAGTTTTGAATTGTATATTTCCTCCCAAGTTGATTCAAAACAATCAGCATAAAAGGACATTATTAAATTACATGCAGCAAGAGTCTTTATTGTTCTGTCATATTACAGGTGAGAATAGGCTTACCAGCATTGCAGGTTTAGCAACCTCCACATATTCTTTGCAGGCACTAATAATATCACCAATGCTGTCTGGATGATCCATAAATGGAACATAATCATAGTCCTCAAATACACTGCTACATGATGTTTCATTCCAAAAGCCACAGCTTCTATACCTACTTCGATCTGAATTGCTAGTGATGTTTGACAACGGGCTGAGATTACCTTCACCTGCTGAAGGACAAAGACAATGAGAAAATGAAATGTACATGCATGTAAAATACAAGAGATTCAATAACATTTACTCAATAATAAACATATATAATCACTTGAAACCAAGGAATAGCTATGGGCGTAGAACAATAAAAGGTAGAAACATCAAAGTTGATATATTTGATAGATTTCACAGGCCAAGGTATCCTAAAATTTTAGTGATTACAGGCTGCCTGAAACACAGAACCATGTGGCCAGGTGTGAAGTTTTATTACACGCAACCTAAAATCAATTCTTCCAGAATTGAGATTTAGGGTACTAGGAAAGCAATTGCCTATTAAATGTAAACTTGGAACAAAATCACACTAGCTTCCAAAAGTTCACTTAAGGGTACTAGGGAGGGAAGGAGGGAGGGAGAGATTTTGGACAAGACTATTCTCACCTAAGATCAATATTTGATTCTACAGTAAGATACAGGAGTTAGACATATATCTCTCAACTTGATACATATGTCGCTTCTTAATGATATGAACAAAAGTAGCAAACTTTGATTGATAGGTGTTAGCAGTACACTGAAACAGAGATTCAACTGAAACAGCATACGGTGACATTAAATTACACAAGGTTTCACAAGAAGAATTATTCATTTGACATGGAAATTTATTTTGTTTTAACATTATCTATCAGAAACAAATGCATAAATGCATACTTAGGAATTGATCAAAATATAATTAATTATTCTTGCTCAAATTTCAATATTTCGTAGTTTGATAAAGGCTCAAGGACTGTGAAGGGCATCTACAAGTGATCAGAACATCCTTGGCATCTTTTCGGATACATATAACACAATACAATTTTCTGTTTTCGTTTTTTGCTAACTCAGTTATTAAACAGGAGTTAATAACTCTAATCACAATGCCAAATTAATCAAAATCTGATTGTAAGTGATTAGCAACTTAGAATTATAAAAAATGCAACAGAAGTATACATGCATTTCACCTGTAACATCTCCAATTACAGTGTCTGTTTCCATTGCAGCTAGACTGCTCAAGTTGATATTTACAGCCAGCACAACAAGTAAGCACCGTTTATGCTTGTTATTTTCCTTAGGATTAGCTGTGCTACCCATTGGATCACCTGTGACAGTTGTAGCATCCTTTAAAATCAAATCATCAAGGGAACCAACAAGAGCTTTTCTTAAATCAGCAAATTGTGTGCTGCTGAGCTCTTTCTTCCTGAAATATATCAAATGCTGCAAATACCAACATGATACAATACGTCAATTTGTGCCATGGTAACAGACCACTGCTCCACAATAACAAACCAAACAAGTGAGATGCTTTGCACAGAAAGGAAGATTTACATAGGGGGGAAACAGCACACCATAGTGCACATGCTAAAACATAATATTTAAAGTTTGAAAAGAGGTTGAAGGTGCACAGTTTATGTAGCACAAACATCATCAGCTAATTAATAGTCTCATAGTTAGCTGAAAATTTTCAAACTATATTAGCTTTACATAACAATGACTAATATTTCAAACAAACTTTCTAGAAAAGAATTTTTCTACCCTCAGTGACAAATTTGCACAAGACCAAGTTATGACATGCAGCAAGTCATAATCCCTGCCCTAAATGTCCAAAAAGTCAAAAAAATGATAAACGGCAGACCCAGTGCCGGAGGCTCCCACATGAGTGGGGTCTGGGAAAGGGAAAAACTGAGGCAAGCCTTCCCCCCACAAAATCTGCGGAGAGGCTGACTGGAGTAATATTTTTAAATAAAACATCCTCATGCAAGTGACAGACAGCAAATAGTTGTTATCTATATAGTCAACAGTGGTCATGATTGATGAAAAAAAAAGGGCAGACCCAGTGCCGGAGGCTCCCACATGAGTGGGGTCTGGTGGTCATGATTGATGAAATGTTATCTAAATGATTGCAGGGTTTTACAAAGGGTGCAGATTAAGGATATGTATGAACCCCACTCCCTTGTAAAGAATAGAATGAAATGAAATCTGGTATGTCCCCTTCATACAAGAATGGACCTAGACTCTTATCAGGAGATTATGTGATACCTCTACCACTTGAATAAAATTGGTTCTCCTTTAGGTGTATAAATAGAGCAAAAATTAAAACCCCAACAGCGAAGGGGGGGCACGGGAAACTTAGGTGCTTGATTCAATAGAGGAGTACACAAAGGGACCGAATCGCATCGATTTGGCCTGATGAAGTGTAGGATTCACGACCTGGAGCATCCTCACGCCAAGGCACTGGACCTCGACCGGCAACCCCTTCTTCACCATCCGTAGTGACGCGCTCACCAACGCGTTCACATAATTTCCCTCCATGTGAGCCTGTGGTGTTCAGTAGTAATTCCGATTGTCACTACTATAGATCGCAAATAAATAAATAAATAAATAAATACATCTCGAAACCGAGGAATGAAACGAACAGGTTTTAGCCCCGTGTTGGGCGAACCAGGAGCCGAGCATCCGAGATCCGGGGACACCGGCGCCACAACAGCGGCGGAGCAGGCAGCGTCCATGGCTAGGGTTCGGCGTGGCGGCGTGAGAGCAGGGGAATGTGGTATATCCCCGTCTGCAGGGAGCGTCTATGGGCGTGTTTGGGACCGAGCGCCGACAGAAGCAGCGGAGTCGAAGGGGAACGGAGTCGGAGTGCCCGCCTGCGACCAAGCGGAGCGGATGGGAAGCGGGGCGCCGCGACGAGCCGCGCCGGGCGAGCGGACGGGGGGCGGCGGCGCGAGCGGAGGCGGCGGCGGCGGCGGCGGCGAACCCTATGGCGACTCGCGAGCGGACGCGACGCGAGCGAAGGGGAGCGGAGGGGTACGGGGTTTTTACATTTTTACCATTACAAAATGACACTTACAACTTTACCACATATGACAAGTTTTAGTTATAGATTTACTATTTTTGCGCATGTGGCATGCCACGCGAGCTCGACACGCTAGCGTCTAGTCAGCATGAGCACGTGAAATGTTGTTGCTACCTCTGTCGTGCTTCTCTCTCTCCATCCCAGCAGCTGAGTCCCGCAGACCGAGTCACTGCCAGGTGGGCCCCACTAGTCAGCTTCGTCTCCTTTTTGCCCATGGCTCTTTCTTCCTCCCATCTCCTTCACTCCTCAAGCCAAGCTCCGCCGCCTCCATGGTCGAGCTCGCCGCCTCCATGTCCGCCGCCTCCATGGCCATCGCGGATCGAAGCTATTCTTGCCATTGTCATATTTGACGCTGGGCCGGCACGAGCTCTGACTACGCCGCCATGTGCACGAATTTCTTTGTGAGCACCGCCGCAGCGTGTTGGCCTCCATGGTCTCAAGATCTCTTTGAGTCGGCGAGGGACGGAGCGACGCACGCAGTGGGGAGAGCCCAGTGGCCGGGATCAGGCGTGGAGCTAGGCGGTAGTTTCCGTTCGTTTTCCTTTTTCCGATCAACTTTTCGGCGAGGTGCCTCCATGGACAACCGAGATGCTCCTTCGTTTTCGGCCGATCTCTGGAGCAGGCGCTAGCCCTGCCTCTCGGTGGTCGCGCCTCGGGTCTGTAGCACGCACGCCGTCCTACTGGCATCCGACCGAGGCATCCCGGTCTTCCAGATTTGTTAGGGTTTTAACTCGATTTGGCGTTTTGGTGTGGTTCCTTGTGTTTAGGTTTCAGGAAGGTGCCATTTTTATGAATGGCAGCAAGATTACCTTGCCAAATTGGTCGATATGGGGAAGATTGTGATGGCCCTGGAACGACATGGAGCAGGTGAGCAAGAAGTTGATTCAAGGGCACTGGTGCTTGTGCAGAAGAACAGAATGGAGGTGAAGGTGGAGGCTTTGGTTTGTGCAGTCAAGGGTTTGTGCTTGGTGATGGGTGCTGGTGTATTTGTTGGAGCAATGTATGTGTTCAAGTAGGCAGTTGAGGGTTTAGGACTATGTATTTTAGTTAGAGTTGGAACAATCTGTGGTAGATGTAGTTTCAGTTGAACTAGTTGTTGCCATGAACTGAACTAATTGCATTATATGTCTCAAGTATTCAATGAGTAATGGAATGATGTTTCTGATAATGTAGTTGTATATTTGAACCCAGATTCATCACTGCAATCACTGAATAGAACACTAGAAATCAGATAAGTGGTCTACATTGATGACAGAACCATAGTGTCGGTACAGAAAGTGACCAACTAGTGAATATTTGTAGTTTTGTTGTACGTTGTGATCAGAGGTGGCCTAGCACTCAATGACACATGATTTATACTGGTTCAGGCAACGTGCCCTACGTCCAGTCGGGGTCGGTCGATGATTTTATTCCTGAGCCCAGGTGCTCGAAGTCTGAGTGGGGTTACAAACAAGAAGGAGAAAGATGGGGTGTACGAGAGGCCCGGTCGGGTCCGACCGGAAGGGCCGAGGGCGACCGGAACACCGCTATGAGCTAGGTGTTCAAGCGTGTGTTTGAGAGGCTTGTGAGCTATCGATCTAGTGAATCTGGTGTTTGAAGGAGTCGATCTCGGGAAAATCGATCCTCGAAGGAAGTCCATCTCTGTTTGGAGGGAGCGCATCTATTTTATAGATGAAGGGGATGGCTTTATAGGTGAGAGGGAGAGAGTACGGATGTTTCTAAGCCTTGTTGCCCACGCCGATGAGGACAATGATGATGGTAGGCGCCCATAATACTGTTGACGTTACTGTAGAATGGCAGGTGCACATGGGATGTTGCGTTGGCTTCTTCAGGAAGGGTGAATGTCGGTACCTGCAAAATACTTTTGTTATGTGAGGAGCTCTTACCACGTGTACCAGGTATGGTGTATCCTGGCGCCCACTATTGATGCCTAGAGGCATTGGGGCTTTTTGTCGTATGGGAGCCCAATAGCGCCTACAATACTGTAGACATAAATATCGGTGCCTACAATACTATTTGTGTTAGGACGGTTGAGGAGTACTGTTCCCGCAGGCGTACAGGGTATGATCCCGGTATCGTGGTTTGACTTGTGCGCTGCCTTCTCCGTTCGCCCCTGGTTCCTTCCGAGTGGACGCCTCCGGTCGGATGGCCCCAGTCGGTACTGGCCGCGCCAGTCGGAGAAGAGCGGTAAGCAGGTTTCCTATGGGTCTCCGGTCGGAGTCGTGGGGTCAGAGTAGGAAGCAACGTTTTGGGCTAGGCCTTCCGATTGGAGAGACCGCCCGAAGACGGCTGGTGCCCGAAGCGAGCGCTCCGGTCGGCGAGGTGGGCCGAAGAAGTTGCCGAGCGTGCGCTCGTCCATTTGGGTAGACCTTCCGGTCGGCGACCGGACTGCCCTTCCGGACCGTTGTATTTTAGACTCTTGGGCCGGCCCATGAACTACATGTTGTTCTCCTGGGCCGAACTATGGCGTGGAAGCCGGTCCCCGAGGGACCCCGGGTTTATGAACCCAACACATAGCAACTTCATTACATAAAGTGTTGTTCATGCCTTCAAGGCAATACACTACAAGTCTACCGGTTGTTCATTCAACTTACAATAGCAGTACATATCAAATGTCATAACACCCAAAATATCACAATTGTAGTTGATGCCTTCTTCCTATGGGTCATTAGTTCCCCTTGTCAGGTGATGCGTTCTTCACCTTTGTGGCCAGCTGCTTCTTCCTAGGGGTCATCTTCTTGGCCCGTACAAGTTTTGGTGGAGGGTCTACCTGTGGAATGATAATTTCTAGGGGCTCTAGAGCTTCCAAGTTCAACCTCCTACGTGTATAAGTGGTTTAGTGGGCAATGTTGTTTTGTCAGTGTCACACTTTAAGTTAGACATTTATGTTCTGGTTACTTGTCCTAGATTATTGCCAGCCTGAGTTGCTGCTATTGCTGCTGCTATCTCTGCCTCTCTTTCTCTTGCTGCTGCTGCTCTTGTTCTTAGGGTCCTTGGTGTTGGTGCTGGAGCTGGTTGTGCTGATGAAGGCTGAGTAGCTGGAGCAGGAGTAGACTCAGTCTCCTTGTTGGCACCCTTCTTAGGCCCCCTTTTTATCTTTGTCTTCCTTGTCCTCTTCCTGCAATTATATTTTTTTTGTTAGAAATAAATGTTGATATGATTTTAGCAATTGTAGGTTAGTAAATTATCTTTTCTTGGTTCCACTTAGTGGGCACCTCCAACTACTTCTCCTATGGCCTACTTCACCATAGCCCTTGCAAGTCATCTGTCTTATGGCTTTTCCACCTGTCTCCAAGCATCCCTTAACCCTCTTCTTCCTTTGCCTCCCAAGTCCTTTTTTTCTTGCCAGTTGGTGGAAGAAGCTTGAACAACTTATCCACTTCTGGCCACTGGGTCTTATCAATGATGACATGAATCAATCCTAGATAGGCTGCTTGGAACCTGTGCACTGAGTAGGCTACATCCATAAATTTCTCCATATCTGGCTGCCTTTTAGCTGTTGTGACAGCCAGTGCATGGGGACAAGGCTTTCCACTCACTTGCCACTCTCTGCATGTACACATGTGTTGGTCCGGATACACAACATGCCTTTTTACAACTTCATCATTGTATATGATTATCTGTCGGTGCGAAATGTGGCTAACAAGTATATATTTGTAGTTTTGCTGCGCATTGTGATTGGATGTGGCCTAGCACATAATGACACAGGATGTATAATGGTTCAGGCAACGTGCCCTACGTCCAGTTTGAGTCGGTCGATGACTTTATTCCTGAGCCCAGGTGCTTAAAGTTTGTTATGGGGTTACAAACGGATGAGGAATGAGAAGGGGAATGTTAGAGGCCCGGTCGGACTCTGCTTCGAGTGGAAGAGAGTGACGGGTGCTCATACGTGCGCTAAGTGTTGGAGCAGGTGCTCTATGTGTCGATGTTGAGAGCATGTAGACTGTGTAGTCATGGAGTGGTTCGTTGTCACCTGTCCTTTTAAGGAGAGAGCGCGTCCCCTATGATAGTTTGAAGGGGATGGTCTTAGAAGAGGGATAGAGTGAATAATGGTGTTGTCTAGTCTTGTTGCCCACGCCTTTGGGTATGGGATGGCCGTCGCCCGTCTTACTGTTTATGCCGCCATCGCCCACCATACTGTCTAGGCTCTGCTGTTTCTGACAGTCTGCATAGTGTCCTCCTGGCACAGCAGAAGACGGTGCCCATAATACTGTTGCAAGTCGGTACTGCATAGTATGTGTCTGGCACGGCAGATGACGGCGCCTACAATACTGTTGCAAGTCGGTACCGCGCAGTGTACGCCTGATACGATAGAACGGCACCGCCTAGTACGCGCAGAGGGCATGGCAGGGTACGAACCTTGGTATCGCGGTTGACCTCCGTCCCTTCGGGGTCGGGCGAGGCGGAGTCTACATCCTCAGAATCAGGCGAGACAAAGACCGCGCCCTCGAGGTCAAGCAAGGCTCACGTTTCCCTTATCTGCTCTTCCTATCCCTCAGGCCCACACCGACTGGGTGTCCCTAGTCGGTCGTTCCCAGTTGGCACCGACCGTTTCGACGGTCGGGAAGGAGTGGCGTGAGTAGATCTGGCGTATTCCCAGTCAGGGAACTCAGTTGGAGTCGGACCGCACTCCCGGCCAACCTTTCTGGTAGG